CCTCACAAGAAGAGAGATGGTTGGTTCCAATTCACTTGTCCACTAGAAACTCCTTACGGGTTCTATAAACGATCTCCAAATAGGTTCATCATGTACAACTTCCTCTCGTTATACTAAATTACACTCAAACTAATTCATAATAGCACAAAAAGGCCTTTTCATGCTAATTCGCTACCTTTCAACTACTAACTTGAGTATCAAAGGGTCCTTCACCCAATTAAAGAGACTTCTTTTGCAAGTACACAATGCAAGAAAACTAACTTCATGTTCCATGATCATAAAACAATCATCACTTGCCATGTTAAGCCATGTATTCTAAATTTGTTAAATGAGTCGATCAATGACTCTTCATCATACCTATTCATATTCTAACCTAATTAATTAATTGATTATAAATAAAATTAGCCTAATTAATTCTAATTCTAACTAAATTAAATTTAAAATAGCAATGAAATTAACTTAATTGATGTAAATTAAATAATTAATTAACAAAATTACAATTAATTAACAAATTTAGTCTAATTCAACCAATTAAACATAATTAACCTAATTAATTAACTAAATTTAAATAAAATTAACTTGATTAATTAAAAATTAATTATGATTAATATTAAATGATAATCGATTAACTAATTAACCTATGTAATAATTAACAAAATTTAATAAATTAATCAACCAATTAAAAAACTTAACAATTTAATAAATAAATCAACAAAATAACAATTAAATATATATACAATCATAAATCAAGTAATTAAACTTTAATGAACCTAACAATTATAACAAATTACTAACTTTAATTAAGAAAATAAAAAAGAGAAAAAAATACCTAATTCAAGTGGAATTGCACCAAGATAAAGGAAGAAAAAACGAGGTTTTTTTTTTTTTTTGAAGAAAATACCTTAGAGTGGGTGTGAATCAATTAAGAGTGGAGGAGTGGAGTTTGGTGGTGGTTCGAAGGGGTGGAAGAGCGATGAGTCGCGGATGGAGAAGGAGAGAGAAGAAAATGGGGGAGGAGGAAGAAAAGGAGGGTTAAATTAGAGCTAGAAAATAGCAATGGATGTGATCCCCTTATTGATCCATTGCTAATTAGTATCAAAATGGATGACCAATTTTGCATAGTCGGGCACCTATTTTTCCACATATAGCGACGGACGTAAGTATCCATCGCTAATCTATCATAAATTGGATAGTTGTCCGTCAAAAAGTCTACCTAATTTTTTCCAAATTCTCACCTTTAGCGATGAATTTTTCTGTCGCTAAAGTACAAGGGATATGTCCTTTAGCAATGGAATATCCATCGTTAAATCATAACATTAAAAATAATGACGGATTTGCCATTCCATCGTTATTTTCCCTAGCAAATATATTGCTACACTTGTCTCTAAAATTTTCGAAATATTTTATTGTCAAATGTAGCAATGGATTAGTGTCGATCGCTAATACACCATTTTTATTCTGTCGCTGATTCTAATAGTCACTATTCTATTTCAATTTGCTTTTTATTTAGCAACGGACGTATGTCCATCACTAATTTTTGTCATTATTTAGCGAAATTCGGTAATGTACAATGATAGTAGAACACCAATACTTATCGACTCTCCCACTAACTCAAGGACACCCCTACCCTTTCCATCATCAAGTTGCTCCCATAGTTATCTATATAAAGGCAAGAACCATCACAAGAAGAGAGATGGTTGGTTCCAATTCACATGTCCATAAGAAACTCCAAATAGGTTCTATTAAACGCTCTCCAAATAGGTTCATCATGTACAACTTCCTCTCGTTCTACTAAATTACATACAAATTAGTACATAATAGCACAAAAAAGAGTCAAAGAGAGGGGAGAAAGAGGAAAAAAGGGAAGGAAAAAGAAGGGAAAACTAAAAGGAAGCAAAAGAGATTTTAGGAAAGTTAATCCAATTTAAGTAGGTTTCATTTTTTTTTCTTGCTTTGTTTATGCTTTCCATGTTTATTTTATGAGTTATTTAATTCATGTGAAATGTGATTATGGTATTTGTGATGATTTTAAACACTTGATGTTTGACGATGGATGGTTAAGCATGTGTGTTGAGAAATGTGCTTTAAGAGAAGATTTTCGGATTTTAGGGGTGGAAAAACCCGAACTTGGTGTGATTTATTTCGGCATCTTAGAGCGATGTTTAGAAACAATACAAAGAATGAAAGTTGTTTATATATGTGTCTACTATGTCCCTTTAAGATTTCGTGACTTTTAGAGATACATATATGGAGTTATGACTGAATTGGTATGGATCGTTCGGATGGAACCTCTATTGGAAAAATATTTCATTCCGAAAGTTGTGCGATTTATTTCAGGATCATAGAGTGGTTTTTGGGCAGAACTCAAAGAAGGAAAGTTGTTCATCTATGTGTCTACTATATGTATATAAACGTTCATGATTTTTATATTTGTATGTAAGGATTTATGACTGATTTGGTATGGGTCGTTGAATGGACCAGCTACTGGAAAAGTTTATTTAGTTCTGAAACTTGTGTGAATTATTTAAGGATTTTAGAATGAAAGTTGTTGATCTATATGTCTAATATCTCCCCTTAAAATTTCGTGAGTTTTAGATATATATTTAAGGAGTTATGGCTGGTTTGGTATAGGTTGTTTAGGTGTGCCACTGCTGGAAAAATTTAACCTAAAATAAATGGGCTTGGACTAATATTAATGGGCTTGGATTTAAAAATAAAGTGGACTTAGATTAAAACAAATGGACTTGGGCTTAGATTAAAATAAATGGGCTTGGACTAATATTAATGGGCTTGGACTTGAATTAAAATGAGATGGGCTTGGATTTAAAAATAAAATGGACTTAGATTAAAACAAATGGACTTGGGCTTGGATTAATGTTAATGGGCTTGGACTTAAATAAAATAAACTTGGAAATGGACTTGGACTAAAATCAAAAGGCTTGGTTTTAAAGTAGATGGGCTTAGACTAACGAAAATGGGCTTAGGCTAAAATAAGTGGGCTTAGATAGAAATAAAAAGGATTTTAAAATTTTAAAGAAAATTTATTCTTTCATAGAGGAAATTAAAAAAAGAAAAAGAATTGGACCTTCTTTAATTATTAATGAAACTAATCAACAATGTTAATTAGCGGAGGTTGTGTTCCCGCTATGAGTACCATGATTGGTATGTGAGCGCCGAGTGAATCCCGAGTGATGGTTGGACCGTGAGTATGGCTTGAGAAAGAAGGGTCGGTACCCAAGTTTGGTTGAATGTGATTAAACATGTCATCACGTGCACCATGTGCATTGGGGGTGGAAATAAATTGAGAAAAATCATTGAGTCTTGAATTGACACGGTTTGGTAATTGAATTGAGTGGATTGGGTAATAGCAAGGAATCCATAGTGCGAGCTCTATTTACTAACACCGTTAAGCGAGGGATAATTCCGCTAATCGTGTGCTACAACGAGGGATAATTCCGTTGCGAGCGAGTAGGTAATATTGAGATCACTAAGAGAAAGTAATAGAGCGAGTAGGTGATAACATGATCACCGAGAGATTGGGCGCACGGACTTGCATATACCTAGGGTACCGGATTAAAATGGATGAAAATATGAAAAACACAATAGCATTGCATATCATGTGCATCACTTTACTTACCGAGCTTTGACTCATTCCGCTATTGTATTTATGTGTTGTTCGAGTAAGGGCAAAGTTAAGCCGATCGAGGATGCTACCGGTTCTCGTTAAAAGAGGCTCATGTGTCACTCATAAAAATAGAAATATCTTTTGTGTCAATAAAAAGGGGTACGAGCCTAGGTTGTAAATTTTTAGGCATTTTGAATATGTTTTAAATTATAGAACTATCCGTAATAATGTTGTAAATTATATTATACGTTCCCATGGTTTAGTTTACGTTGTGTACGATGGAGGAAGTAGGGGACTTAGTCCCAATAGTATGTCGCGCCGGTCACGCTCGTTAGGTAATAGGTAAGGGAGCCGAGGGCGTCACATAACTTGAGCGTCGAAGGGTCTTTCACCTAACTAAAGAGACTTCTTTTGCAAATGCATAGTGCAAGAAAACTTCCTTCAAGTTCCATGATCGTAAAACTATCATCACCGTCGTCTTAAGCCATGTATTCTAAATTTGTTGAATGAGTCGGTCAATGACTCATCATCATACCTATTCATATTCATGGCCTTGTAATTATTGCAATAATTACATCTTGCAAATTGCAATGCAGAGGAAACAAGATTTTTTTTTCCTTTCCCTTTTCTCCGGTTTGAGACTCACACAACTCCGAGTAAGGCGAGAATACTAACAAGAAAGGAATGCCCGAAAAGCTTGGATGAGAATCACCTCTTCTCTTCCTGGTTGGTGGAGGAGCTATAGCTATCCTCCAAATGAAGGGTTTTCAAATACTTCAATCAACACTTCTAGGGTAGTTTTCTGGAAACTGTTCTAGGAAGATTGCTTCATTCTTATTCGGTTGTTTTCTTGTACTTTTTTCTTGCAAACCGTACCTATCACCCAGGTCATCGGATTGAGCTATCCCTAAGTTACAACTGAATGCATTACCTATGTAAATTTGGAGGTACTTCAATATAGGAAAGAAGAATTTTTTTTTTCTTTTTTCCTAAGAATTAAACTTAATTAAAGGGAAGGATTGCTTTAAGGTCAAAATTTAAGCTTCAAAGAAAATTGTAACAATCTACATCCTTATGTACCTCAGTGGGACATGCCATTATTTTATACATGTAATTCAATGTTTCAAATGCAATTTCAGCTACTACTTTTTTTTTTTTTTTTTCCATTTTTAAATCTCGAAATTCGTGTCGCTTTTAATGTGGGATAATGGTTTTCCTTTGCACAATAGGAACATAAAAAGAGCAATAAACAGAACCCAGTTTCATAGTGCGTGCAAGGGACTGACCTATAAAAACAAGTTACACATCCTATCAAATTTTAGAAAATTTCAACTGCCTTGCCAATCTACCATTCCAGCACAAAAATATCTTTCTTTCATTTTCCTTGATTGCATTCAACATCAAAAGTACCAGAGTACTCAACTATGCTAATCACATCAAAATCTTTCATCCTCAACACAATATCTGATAACGAGAATAAATTAGAATCAAATCACTCCTTTAAGCACTTAATGGATCTGAAGAAGCTGAAATGTACATGCAGCAAACAAAGGGATTCCAAAATTCTCTTTATGTATCAATAATAATGTTACAGCTGTTTCAAGAAATGCCATTTCACCCGTAACAAGATTTAGAACTCCAGCCTATCTTTACGTACATCAAGAAAAACCAGGAAATACAAAAAGGAAAACTCATTTTAAACAGTGATCATCTTGTCTTGTAATTATGTACGTGATTGTGTACAAATTCATAAACAAAAACAGGTATATGAATTTTCATAAAATAGCTAATGAATAAACCAGCAGCACTGGTAAAAGAAAATCATCATCTACCCTGTCCAATAATGTCATGGAGCCTGGAATCAGTGGTGCTTGGTGTCAAATCCTCGTGGTTTTTCACGATGCTTGTGCTTGTGGATGAATTGTAGTGGCTAGCATCAGATGTTCTAGTTGCCCCATCACTCATAAAGCTGATTGTATCATCAAATTTCCAGTCAGTCAAGTATCCAGGTTTCGAAGTTACACTGCTCACTTCGATATCACCAGATAGCATAGCAATGACTCGTGACATTGATGGCCGTAGCATAGGTGCAGTTTGAGTACATAAAAGAGCAACTCCTGTCAAACGTTTTACTTCTTCTTCATTAAATTCAGATAATCTGGAGTCTACCAGTTCAATTTCATTGTTGTTTTCAAGTAGGTGCCAGGCCTGAAAAGACAGTAACCATACATTTTGATAAAATGACTTTAGAAAGCAATGGACTTGATAGAAATGTGATGTATTTATTATATACTGGCTACAGTCTACATGGCTGAAACTTTTGCGTGAAAGGGATTGTGAGTATCATGCAGCATACCCATTCAAGAAGATATATCTTTTCTGTTTCCAAGCTTGAATCCGAATTCGCTCTTCCACTTATGATTTCTAGAGCCACAACTCCAAAAGCAAATACATCAGCCTTCTCCGTAAGGTGTCCGCGCATTGCATACTCCGGTGCAAGATACCCACTACATTAGTAGTGACAGAGTCAGTAACACAACTACTGATGGTTGCAAAGTTGATGCTTTTAGATATGAATGGAGGAAAAGGATATTGATTAGAGCTTTATGGTTTTTCTATTCAAAACTTACATTGTTCCTGCAACACGGGTGCTTATATGGGTCTTCTTATCATCGTAAAGTTTGGCTAAACCAAAATCAGAGATTTTTGGAATGAGATTGGAATCAAGCAGAATATTACTGGCCTTCACATCTCTGTGTACGATTCGAATCCTTGACTCTTCATGTAGATAAGCTAGACCTCTTGCTACTCCCAAGCATATATCATAACGTGTTGGCCAGTCAAGATTCAAACTTCGTTCTCCTGCATTAAGTAGCCATATATAATTATGTTTCCGCTGCATTCTTTATAATAGAGTGTGTGCTAGCATGAGTCTGTGTATGCATAGTGTGTCTAGCGAATAGCATACCAAATAATGCTTGATCTAGACTCTTGTTCTCAAGATACTCGTATACAAGAAGTCGATTCGTTCCCTCAATGCAGCACCCATACAATTTCACAAGATTCCGGTGTTGCACAGCAGATATAGTAGCAATCTCTGCTATAAACTGACTCTTTCCTTGGTGGGATGCCATGGACAGTTGCTTAACAGCAATCACTCTCCCATCATTAAGTTTTCCCTGTTGGTAAATGATTCAAGTAGTGTAATGAGAAAATATATACTTACTTAAAGATCCAAATTTCCTGCTTCTATGAATATAAGATGAAACTTGGGCTAGCATTAAGCTCACAAGGATCTTGTAAAACACTTCCAACATTAAAAAAATAAAATAAAATAAAAAAACTAGGCAGCTCAACTGAATGTATGAAAAAAAGACCATATCAACTATTATTAGGATCCAGTGGGCAAAAATCTAAGCATTTTAGCTGAAAGGATTCAAGGCGACATTATGGATCATTGCAGAAACACTAGAAAATGATGGAAGAATGCAGCACCGAACAAGTGCTCAACATCTTTTTATCCTCGATTGAAATAAACACTTACCTTGTAAACCGGTCCAAACCCTCCCTCTCCAAGCTTATTAGCAGGACTAAAATCTTCTGTAGCAGTCTTCAGTTCAGAATAACTGAAAGTGTATGGCCTAGCATCAATCCCTAGGAACTCTGCAATTTTAAACACATATTCATGAAACTGTTTGTCTGTTCACTTATTCACTTATTTATCTTGTAGACTTAAAAAAAATATATATAAAATAGAGAGATGAGAAAAGAAGCTTTACAAGATGAAGTTGTACAAAGAGAACTAACATTTTGATCATAAGACATAAGATGGAATGCAGTTGTTCTTATTAAATCTAAGAGCCTCTTGACATTCAAAAATTGTACTTTATGGCTTAAAAGCATTCTACTACTGATATTCCTTCTATCAGAAGTTTTCTGGTTTAAGATGGAAACAACAACAGCCCCAAAATATACAGAAAATTATTTAACACAAGATGTGGCTCGGATGCTACGAACAATAAAAGACTATAGTCATACCGATGAGAGCAGCATTTTTGTCTAAGAAGTCTACAAACAGTTAAAAGGTCAGATAGCTTGAACAGAAACAAAGCACGATTTCCTTTTCCAGCTTACCTTCATAATCATTGGTGCTTTGCCTTTTTCTTCTTCGAACAAAGAAAACCGCAAAAACAAGCAGAAAGCTTACCACTCCAACGCCAACAACAATCCCCACAGTCAAACCAGTCCTATTTTTCTTCTGACGTGGTGGCTTGTTACTAACAGTGGGTGTGAAATCTGTACATAACCTCAGTACTCAATAACTCGGTAATGGTATGTTATAAAATTAACATTAGAATTTACAGTGTTACCTGGAATAGCGTTGATCGCTGAAATAGAAGGTCCATATGTACCTTGAGCAGGGATGCAACAAGTCCCCTTTCCAGCCCAAAAAAAATGGATTTCAAGATAATTTTCTGTTACCCGAACCTTAAATTCCCTCTGAACAGCTCGATTCATGATTCCACCTGCTGCCTTTTGTATGTCAAAATCCTTCAGAACACGACTTCCCTGGAATAACAAGGAAAGTACGTAGATACAATTAAAAAAACAAATGGAATAATTTTGGCAAGTAAACTAACATGGATTTCATCTAAGTTTACAAATCCATCATTACTAAGAGATTTGCTATCATGTTATGCCAAGAATTATGCAGGAAAGGCTAATTCAAAGCAAGATTAGACTTTAGTTTCCATGCTCACAGTTGCAATAAGGTTTCACAGTTGAATTAGTAATAAGTTGGGAGCAAATTATTCATGAAAGGTAAAATCATCTAGCTCAAGCGGTGATTCAGGGTTACAAAAAAAAAAAAAAAAACCTTAGCAGTTAGTTTTTGTGTTCATGCTACATGAGTACTCAATGAATCATGTCCATTTTAAGGCTTTTACCACTTTAAGTGATGATTTATTGTACTTTTTATCACAGCACAATTTCTACTGATAATAAAAGCTTTTTTAGGAACCACTAAATATAGTCTGCAACAAATTTAATACCACAATACAGACCTGGATATAAACATCGAAAACACGCCTTCCAAGACTCTTCCATGTGCTTCCTTGTAAAATAACTGATTCGGCAAACTGCATGATAACAGTGTAGTTACCATTCTGAAGCCCCAAGCCATAGTACCTTAGTGATGAAGCAGATAGTCGTGAAGTCTGGAACAACTCAGAATCTAGAGTACTTGTAAATTGTGACGTCGATGATGTCGTGTACTGAGGGTTGTTGATTCCAGAAAAAATCCCAGTATTAATAACGCCAAAAGTGTCTGTGTCACTCACATAATATGATGCTGCACCAAGACTTGTGTTATCTCTCTCAAAAAGAACCCTGTTCGAAGATGTAATTTGTGGACCACCACACTTAATAGCAAATTGTGAATCTACACCAAAAAAAAAAAAAAAAAAAAAAAAAAAAAAAGGTTTTAATCAGAAAAGGATCAGAATAGCCACTTTGACTATTAAATTTAAAATCATTTGCATCCCCAACTTGTGATATGCTCTTGCACATTAGATGACAGGATTATTTTTGAACCTATAATCCTGCTGCGAAGCATTCCACTCTACAATGGGTGAAAAAAAAAAAAAAAAAAAAACATTTTAATTGTACTTACAGACTGGGGAGTCTCGATTGCAAGGAAAGTTACGTTGAAGACAATTCAACCCTGATGGCAAACCACTGAAAATTAAAGAGGAGGGTGATGAGATTATCTATCAGGAAATAGTGCCAGGCACAAGCATAGGTTATTTAAGCAGGTGCTTGTGATTGATTCAATATGAACAATTGTTCTTGAGCCCTTTCAAAGACATATCACCTAGTTGAAAGGCTAATGCTTAGAGTATAATAAAGCCACTAACATTTGCACCAGCATAAGTATCCAAATTATCAGTGAAATGTTAGAATTCAAGACAAATGTAGAAGAGAAAAATCACCTGAGGTTTGAATCACTTACTGTAAAGTTGTTGGCAACTAAATTACTGCACAGACACAAGTACATATTAACATGAGCTTCATTCAGCAATAAGTGCAAATAGAGTTTGAGCACGAATTATAGAATGGTAGTTCTTTTTTTTTTTTTTTCAAAGCAATATTGTTCAGAAGCTGGTTGCACATGCTATTTTGATGCGTAAATAAGATTGCCAAATATAAAACTTACAGTTCTAAATTTGGTTCGCTGACCCAGGAAGGAAAGTTTCCTGCTAAATTATTGTATGACACATCTCTGCAAGCATGAAATGAAGAGAACACAAAGTAATAATTTTGAATCAATATATAGGTAAACATTCAGCCAATTCACGAATAATATAACGGTCCTTGGTCAATGATCAGCATGGACGATCCAGCCAAGAGATTGCATTCGTCATATAATGTTGAAAAGCAATATTCCATATGTACTTACACATTGAGAAGTGATGAACTCTTCGTTGCCGGAAGGTTACCATTTAATTTATTGTTTCCAAGAAACCTAAGCACAATGGCAATAACACTTCAATATAAATCGCATAATGTTATAAGGTATGATGCAATTAAGCAAAAGAGGTATCTTACAAGAAAATGAGTGAGCTCAAATTGAAAAGTGAGTCAGGAATCTGTCCCTCAATATTGTTGAAGCTCAAATCCCTTAAAAGAAGAAATAGTTGTCATCATACACTTCAAAGATAAATTCAACCATCCAACAAAGCGCAACCAGTGAGTAAAAAAAACAAAGAAAACAATTAGCCCTTCTTCATGCAACTCCAGTTGCAGAGTTTAATCCAGATTCATTACTCCATAAAGAGGGAAAAAGTTTTTGCTTTGGGGTCACTTTTAAGTCATCATAACCCGTTCGGAATACACACCAACCTCATTGTTTAACACCATATACAAATTTGTGGAAGGCCATTGTTTCCCCAAACAATATTCAAAGGACAAGCTACACATTTTTGTGTATTTGAGCCAACTCATTCAAGCCTAACACAGTTCCTTCTTAACATATATCTGTAGACAAATATCAATAAAAATAACCTACAGCTGTGTCAAACTCTGGAATTCTCCAATGTAGGATGGAATTGAAATGGAAATGTTGTCATTCCTGAGCAGCCTGCATGACATGTACCCAAGTAATTGACATTACATTTCAAAAGCTTTTACGAATAGGGAGAAAAAGGCAAATGATATAGACTGTTATCTCACAAAATGCTTAGAGACTTCATGTTTCTAATAAATTCCAGTGAAGAGCCTCCATTCGATAAATCACTTATTCGCCTATAATAATAGTAGAAACAAGATCATTAGCATCATTGTCAGTACTAATCAAAAAGGGAAAAACAAAAACAAGAAGAAGAAGAAGCCGACAACAAATGCAGAAACTCACAAGTCTGTCAAAGTAGTGAGGTTGGAGAATGCTGATGGTATTGGACCTTCAAAAGCATTTCCTTCAAATCTTCTGCAGTAACATAACATTCATGACTAGATGATATAAATTGTGCAAATTTAACATGTAAAAGGAGTACAAACAAACAATTTTTTTACTTTGTCATAATTCTGCTTCCCAAAATAGAACTTCTGACAATAATTTTTAAGTGAAAATGGTAGATCAAACCATTGTTGTCTCAAGGGCATTGAAGAAAATAAATATAAAATATGTTATGAATCTTCTTACAGGCTAGTAAGCTTTGACCAATTTCCTATGAAGTCGGGTATCCTGCCTGTGAGTTCATTGTCTGATGCCCACCTGAGACAAACAGCAGTAGTTGCTCAGAAAAACATGATCTGAATACTTCTTTGTTGTAACTACAATTCGGAGCATTTTAATTAAATGGAAGAACAGTCAAAATAGTCTTACACTGTAGCCAAGTTCTGCAAATTAGCAAATGTTAAAGGAATCTCACCACTAACTCCAGAACTATCAAAATAACTGCCAAGGTAAACAAATTTCATTAATTTTTGTACCACCTTTTTTCAGTATCATCCATAACATGACATGACAGATTGTAAACAGTTACCAGACCATCACAAAAGAATAGAAGTGGATAAAACAAAACTATAAATATACAGAATGGTTAGTTTCCTAGCCATATGCATGCACGTATATTGGTTAAACTATTTCAGCCATAGGATGAAGGGGAAAAAATCTCTGTTCATGGATTTACTTTCATTTCATATGCCACTCTGCTTCTTCACATTTCCTGGATAAGATCCCAGGACAGTCACTCTCTATCAAGAAGGGTCGTATTTTACATTTAAATTGAACAGAAGCTCAGCAATAGCAGAACTTACATTTGTTCCAGCTTTACTAAATTCCCAAGCTCAGATGGCAGAGGACCAGTGAAGTTGTTTGATCCAAAAGCACTACATCATTAAGAAGCAAATCAATAATATGGCAGTTCCTAGTTAATACATACAAAAACCATCTCTTTCTTAAATTAAGATTGGAAAAATAAAAGAAAAGGCAATCAAACTTGCAAATGATACATGTCATTTTCTGTATAATGGACAAATCAATAGGTTAATTACCAATCAAATGAACTTACAGTACTCGTAAATCAGTAAGCAGTCCAAGTTCCTTAGGAAGCTCCCCAGAAAGTGCATTAATGCCAATCGTCCTAACCAAAATATAAACTAAACATCAGAAAGAAAAGAAGAAAGGAATACATAATATGCCATATCCTATGAGTTCATAATTAAAAATCAGAGCAGCTTACAGGTATTGCATCCGAGTTAGATTACCAATCGATGGTGACAGGTTACCTGTCAAATAATTTTGACCCAAATTCCTGCAAGAAATCAAAACAAGCATCAGTATTTCTGAACACACTGACAGACTGATCATATGTACAATGTGTAATGAAGTAGTAAACAGCAGTGTAAGACTGAAGCAAATGTATACATAGTGAGGACAGGAAACCATACAAATTGGTGAGGTAAGTGAAGCTCCAAAGTACATCTGGAATTGCACCTATAACATCTATTGCATAAACTTTCCTGCATTTCAATAATACAAACAATAAGCTAGCATGAAGCAAGGTTCAACTTTTATCCTAGAAAAACAGTACCCCAAATAAACCATTGGCCCATCCAGACCAGTAGGACAAAAATTTGAGTACGGTGCAAAACAAAAAGTTATCTTTTAATCATTTTATATTTCCGCTGGGTTCCAAATACAAGGCAGATGAATATGAGTAAAAGTGAAATTTTCTCGTCCATGAGCCGACTGCTACCTAATGAAGGCATAATAACAAACAAGTGGGATACATTTCCGAAGAATATAATAAAAACCACTTAAAAACATCAACTGATAACCCAGAAGAGAAAAATATACTTCTTCTGAAAGCATAGAAATGGGAAGTTTAAAGTTGGCAAAGAGAGAAAGCATACAGGGCAGTAATTCGGCAAGTGGTGCCATTAAGAAAAGTGCAGTCACATTTGATAAAAGGGTTGAAATCCTTGTTGTCTATGGCGGGAGAAGCACCAATGGCTGCTCCACTGCATACGTCTCCACTTGTGTTCCATTGGTTAGTGTTGGCTGATATTCTCCATTGTTGAAAGATCGAATTCAATGCTCTTGCTGCTCAATATATATACAATAAAAAAATATATACTGTAAGTTATTGAATTTTGAGTTAATTTAAGTTTGAGCAGAACCACCAATGGTTTTCCTTCCTTTTTTCACTTTTACGGTCAAGTTATATCCTCCAAAAGAAAAAGAAAAAAAATGTATATATAGATGGATAGATAGATAAGAAGAAGATGTCAAACAAAATAAAAATAGGTGCTTCTTTCCTTCAATTAATTAAGCCTTTTTTATGTACCAAAATTGGTTACTTCATAGTAAATAAAAAGATGTCTTTAATAGTTCATAAATTTTAGGAATTAAATAATATTATTTTCCTTTTCAAGGTAATACTACTTATCGAATCATAATTCTATTATCTCATTAAATATTACCTAATTACTTAAACTAGAACAATTCATAATAAGTAAATAAGATAAATAAATCAATTTGTTCTATAATACTCAACAAAGTCTTCTATCTTTTTTTAGATTTTTAATTGTATTTCAACTATTGTTTGAAATATTCAATTTGTTTTTCCCATTAAATTTTTTGACCATAGAAAAATTTTTGGACTGAAATGCACTTTATTAAAAAAGAAATCTTAAAATCATATGACCTATATGTTTTATTTCTTAAATTGTATTTTATTTTATTTGCATTTCAATCACAAGCATTTTGATTGACCAAAAATATAGTGGAAAACATTAATTGAAAAAAACAAAATTGAACATTTCAAAAACATGTAAAAGTAATTAAAAATCTATAAACAGAAGAAAAACTTTAAATATTATATAATGAAAATTCATCTATTTATCCAAATAAATATAGTATTTATTTTTCTACCGTTGATATGATGAAGAGAACAAAAGTCCACTCGACCACTTCTCTTGCTCATGCGTTTCTCTTTTGTTTGTGATTTAATAAAGCTATGTATAAGAAGTACCTAGCTAGTAAGTAATTTTAACTGTCGATCTGTTGATGTTATTTAAAAAGAAAATTTTCTTGAATAATAACGTACACAAAAGCTGGACATGGCCAAGGATATACTCTAATATTCTTTTCTCTTGTTTTTTCTAAAAAAAAGGTGAGTATTGATTAATTGTTGTGTGCGAATGGATCCCCTAGATAAAAACATTTCATTTGCAGATCATAGGTAAAATGATTATATACTTTTAAGGAAATTTGTTTAATTAAGTTGCTAGAAAACAGTTGCTAAAATCTAATTTTTAGATGATGATCAGCTATTTAATTTTCTTAAAAGACGATTAGTTCAACAATTAATGATAACAATAATGGTAAACATCATTGTCAACAAGAACAACCAAGAATTCATGAGGTAAAACTATACGGAGAGAGAGAGAGTTGCACCTTCATTAGGATCTGTAGTAGCTTGAGTTTGATTTTGTGCTTGAGCTATGCCGACCAAGTCAATGATGCAAACAACATAAAGGGCTAAGAAGAGAAGAAGTGATGGATATCTGATGAACATGATCAATACTTGAAGCTTCTGTAATTGCAAGGTTTCAATGAAAGGAGATGAGAATGGATGAGGAGAGAGAAACAAATTAAAGAGACAGCAGAGAGTCCTTTGGCTTTCTGCAGAGCCACCAAGCTGCCAAGACGGACTGGATAATATATTATTTTTATCATATTATTTTGACGAGGGAAGCTTTTGTTTATACACATGCATGTGTCAAATGTGCCAACAAGCACGTGATTTAAGACAAACAATCTTTAATGAATCAATTTGTTGGGATAAAATTGGTTGCTTTTCTTATAGCATGGTTGGCCTCTGACAATATGATCATATCAGAGCAACCAATGGACTTTTTTGCCCTTTCTTTCCATTCCTACGTTTCATTGGAGGTTAGAATATGCAATAGATGATGCCTACGTATATATACTCTCATTTATACATCATCATGAAATGTCAAAACATTTATTTTTGTTTTGCATTGAAGACATTCAATGGAATACGTTTCACATCTAATCGCTATTGAAAATGTCCATAGTAGTTAAAATTCTAATCATAAACAACATATTCATAGGGATACCTTTATATGAGTTCACACAACTTATATGCTAATTCTGATTTGAGTCAAACATTTTTTTTTTTTAATTGAATTGAATTTAGAAGGTCTCAATTGAGACTTTTTTGTATGTTGGATACCTAATTGAGAATTGGTGTATAAATTATAGAGAATACCTCTACTCATATCTTAGAAACAATTATTTTTATGATTGCGTGATCATTTATGGGGAAAAAATGCTTATAATACACATTATAATGTACTAGAAATGAGTTTGAATATATTATTATCATTATTATTATTATTATTGTGTGAGAGAGAGAGAGAGAGAATTAACGTTGTTTGATATTGATAAGTGTTATGCAGCTTCGGTTTCTAGCACTACAAATCCTAGTTAGCTACGTACCTAAAAAAAAAAAGAAAAAAACAACAGCGGATAACAGTAATGTTAAGCAGTATTGTTTTAAATAGGCATGCACTTGCAATACTCCCAATATGTGTATCCCTCTGTTCCCGAGCAAATGTTCAACGCAGCTTTCAACATCAAAACTAAACATATATCCATAAAACGCACGTCTGCCATTCACATTAATGCTTTGTTTACCCGAAAAAATAAAAAAGAAAAAATGCAGTTAATGGAGGATCAATCTGACAGATAATACTTTTAGTCCAATCACCATCTTGTCTTACCCTTTCAAACCCCCACATGATGTGTGACAATGTTGACTTATGATCAACAACTTGCTTTAAAATCGAAACTGTACCTTGTGATATTAAATTAAATACGATAATAATAACATTTCAAATGTTGGTTGATGGCTAACCGCTTAAAACCAATAAAAATATGTAGCATCAACACCTCAAAATTAACCAGCGAATGCGTGCGTATCCAGAACCAGAATTAATGTTGACTCCTGCCTAATAATAATATTTATTCAACTTGCCCCAATTGTTATAGTTAATTCCTTATTATAGGAAACATCTTGCAGGTGTTTGGAATCATTTTTTTTCCCATAATCCATTTTATTATCCTTGTTGTTGTTAATATTTGTGATTTGTAATTTTTGTTCTTTAGTTTATTGAAAAAAAAAACTTTTAAATTGGAGACTTAAAATCGTCATATTTATAAAGATTAGTCTCATCTTATCCTTTTCATTCTTTGTTAATCAACATTACTCGGCACTAAGTATGAAATTTGGCCTTCTTACAAAGCCCACTACATTGGGTCTTCTTATAATTATGAGTTTTTCTTTTTCTTATGACCTCGATTTGATCCAACATACTAAAAGTATGTCTAATATCTATTATTTTCTACTATGTATACGAGCTTTCTTCTTCATAAAATACAAGTCTAACAACTTTAAAACACAAATACAATTTCGGAGAGTTAGCTCTCTCTTTATAGAGTATGCTTAAACTATTGAGAGAGGCCTTATCCGGAAACTTTCTAACACCGCTAGCCTTGATGATTGTGCTTCCTATTTGTAGGACTTTATAGGACTCTACCACATTTCTCCCAACCCCTCTCTGCAAAGAATGATCGACTATCAAGTACAATCAATTTATATATCAATAGCTTGTGCATCATCAATGCATAGTTTGTAAAAAACTATGTAAAAAATCAATTTCTAATCTATATTTACCGATCTCTAATTTAAAAATGATGGCGTCCTCCTTCATATGAAACATTATATTTGGTCGTATATTACATGCTGCATACAAATATCTATTATTTGAATGAGGCATTATCTCCCTTACTCTAAAATATAAATACAAAGATCATCATGGAAGGATACACACATGTGTGTGTATAAGTAGGGGTGAGCAAATGATTTTCGATTCGGTTTTTGGTTAACCAAATATAAAAAAATTACAACCGAACCGAACCAAATAACATTTCGGTAGATAAATTTCGGTTTCAAATTATTTCGATTTTTATTTTCGATTGTTTTGGTTAACCGAAATTATTAACACTTCTATATTTATCCAACAACAAAGTCGGAAAATGAACTCAAGTTCACTATCCCACAACCTATAATACTTATAGAAATTTTCAAACTCATAAATGAGTTCTTTTTCCATGTGGGATGATTTCAAATATATTAGTTTTAGTTAGTGAGATGGGTTATTTATAGACCTTCCCAAGTCTCAAATGCATGTTTTTTTCGATGTGGGATAAGGAACTCACCCTTTGAGCTTTTCTCTATCCCACATCGCTTAGTTTGGTTTTTGGAGGGTGGGGGATAGGTTATAAATTAAGTCCGACTTCTCTTCTTTTGCTTGTGGGTTGTGATCCGTGGGCTTTGTTTTTGAAGGTTCATGGCCTTTTATGGGTTGATGTCTATATAAAACCCAAAAGCCTAATTTTAATTAAATTTTAATTTTAAGCTTATTTTAATTAATATAACTAGGTGAGGTGTTTGGTTTTTGGTGAAAACCAAATTAAATTTTTAAAAATCGAACCCGAAATCGAAAAGTGATAAAATTTGGGTTCGGTTTTTTTTTAATAAATTCAAATGAAAAACCGAACCAAATTAAGTATTTCGATTCGGTTGTATTCGGTTTTCGATTAACCGAACCATTTGCTCACCCCTATGTACAAGGCACTCTCAACCCATCCTAATGCCTTATTTGAGAAAGTATCAATTATTATTTTTTTATTATGGTATAAAAGGTGTTAGCAAAGTAGGACAAAAATAAGTAATGCCATCACATGGTCACGCCTTCGTTTTGTAACACATTTTATGATGTTAATGACACTTACTTATCATATATTTTAATTTTTTTTTACAATTATCAACTAAGTATGTTGATCAAACGAAATGCTCGGCTCCATTTATTACCTATTGCTCGGGATAAGCCTAGCTACAAAAAAAAAAAAAAAAATCTTAGTTCGCCGATAGTCATCCAACCAAAGCCAAAACACAACACCTGTATGGAAAAAGTTTTCAAAGAGGTTTCAAATTGTACATGCGAGCTATATAAATATATGAAGGCCAAAAAGTTGGGACGGGGAGTATAGACATTCAAGTAATTAAGAAATGTTGCCATTTGGCTAGGGAATTAATACGTTGATTGTATAAAATTGTTCTAGCTATTTGCTCCTCGTCCATAAAAGATTTTCTCCTCTTGTAAGTTTTGTTTCTCAAAACTAATTCAGATTGAGGGAAGATACTATAAAGAGAAACTTGCGAGAGAAAAATCAAGCAAACATGTCATCACCATTTGAGACAAACTTAGGCAATCTTGCACTATCATTCGTGACAAGTCTTGGTAGATGTGCTAATTACTTGGGAAAAGCAACTTTGAACAAGCGAGAGAAAAAGGAAAAAAAGAATAAAAAATTAAGAAAGAAAGAGAAGTTGATGTAGAGTCTAAAAGAGAGAAGAAAATAAAAAAGAGAAAGAAGAGAAAACTAGCAAACCGGACCACCATCTAATCTCCGAAGTCAATATATGCTGGACACCCGGACTCACCTCCACATGATGAAGATAACACCATCGGTTAAAGCATCAATCTACTATTGAATGATGCCATATGCATGGATAAAGGCTCGACACATCCGACCATGAATCTTCACGTGTCCGACATGTTGTCTCATGCTTTTCAACTTTTGTCTCTCAAGTTTTTGATGCCTTTCAATTTTGATCCTAAATTTAAGTTTGACTTCTAGATTTGTCCCTAAGTTTCAATCACCACTTTTAGCCCTTGAATTTATCCATACAATGAGGTTGTTCGTTACTCTCGTAATGCCAAACAGATTAGTTCCAAATTACTCTAATTTCTTCCCAAATTGTGAAACACATATCCAATTCCATAAGCAATTTTGGTTAGTTGTCAACCTTAGTCCTTCATATGCTTGAGCAAGATGATTTTATGACCATTTAATCATATTTAACACATCTAACACCAAATGATACAAAAGAGAGTTAATTTACCTGGATGGTATAAGAGTTCTTGAAAAGCATGGATGATAAGGATCTACTATCTACCAGGAATCCATCCATCCTTAAGGATCCCTCTCCTCCTTAGGATTCTCACTCTTTAGGGATTCTATCCCTCTTTAAAGACTCCACTCAATCAAGCTCGGTCGAAAAGAGTTTTTGCCTACTTAGAAGGTTCAACCAATTAGCTATCTCATTATGTAAACGAGCATAAAATTCTAAGATGCATACTCAACTAAATAGCACGGAACTCTAAGAAGTATATTGAACCAAACGGTATAGAATTTTAGGAGGCATAATTAGCCAAATAACACGTATTTCCTTCTAAAGTAAAGTCTAAAGTTATATTCTTAAGGAAACGAGATGACCATATTGAGAATCAAAGGTATAGTCTAAGGTCATACCTTAGGAAACAAACAACTATATTTCTTCTAAAAATACGAGTATAAGGCTAAAAAAATAGAAAACCATATTATGAATCGGAGGTATAGTCTACTTGTCATATTCCTTAACGA